CGTCCTTTTGTTTCTACCAGCCCTTATACCGACGCATTGTCATTTGCGAATCTTGCAAAGACAATTGAGGGAGTTGGTACGTTTGCTCTACGTTGTGCGTGTTGCACGTTTTCTAACATATACGTAGGCACATCTGCCTATATCGGAGCAGCGCAATTCATCTCGGAGAAAGACTATTTGATCGTCGCTGATAGTATTTCGACAATAGAAGCCCGCCATGCAAGCTGGCTCGCCACTGAACTCACCCTTACTCCCTGGCCCGGAGCATTTGACGTGGGTCCTCTTCATTTTTCACGAGTTTTGAGTCTAATTTACATGTGTTCAGCGAGCTCTCACCTTTAACGAGGCGTTTACCCTGGCGTCCAACTTCATTGTGCCAGGATCTTGCCCCTCCAGCAACCCTCCTATCGCGTTCAAGGCGAACCCTCAACTCGTCGTTCAAGAGACAAATGTGACCACGGGCCAAACGATTCACGTTTCCTTCAACATTACCACTTCTCAGAGTACTCCTTTGTTTGCTGCCTTCCTTACTGGCGTGGCTCCCGTTGAAGTATTTGGTACTTTCACCCGCACGGGGAAAGGTAGCGGCACTGTGACGGTCCCGAAAGGCCTTACGGGGCAGACGTATCTTGTACTTACGACCACCAAAGTTCAGAGTTTCACAGACGTTGGGGTAGTTGCTGGGCCTGCCGTGTTGTTCTTTAACTTCCCTCCCAATCCCAACTGATTGAGATCATCGTAACTTCTATGACTATGTGTTACTTACGAAAAGTATATATAAAAACTGCAGAAACTATTCATGTATACATAATAAAATATGGACATCGGGACATTTATTTATTATTCGGAAATTTCCAGAATGTTCTAATTAATTTATGCCGAAAATTGTTCTCTTCCACCATTGTCATCGCCGTCTTCACCATCGTCGCCGTCGTCAGCGACGTTCTCCAAGCCCAGTAACACTCTGATACCCGAACCATTGAGGTCGTTTGAACCTTCACAGCAATGGCCAAGAAGAAAGGAGGAGCTGCGAAAAAGCGCCCAGCGACCACGCCGACCCCAGTGGTTCCCAACGGCAGCAGGTATGTTTTAGCTGAAGAATACGATGTCGACAAAACCTCAGCTCTGAGCACAGCAGCTCCGCCCCTGCCGAATCTGGGCCAAGCACACCCCAACCCCCACCCTCACCTAGTCCTGTGACGGCCTCACCAAAACCAGAACCTGAACCTGAAGAGGAGGATCCTGTAAAACGTGCAGAAAAGGTCAAGGAACAAGGGAACGTTGCCTTCAAAGCCGCAAAATATACTGTAGCAGTCGAGCTCTATACTCAGGCTATCGGTACTTCCTGCATCAATTTCAAAACTCTCAAGCTGATGATCGCTGCAGAATTGAACCCTCTAGAACCTTCATATCTCACAAATCGAGCAGCCTCTAACATGGCTCTGAAGCGTTTTCGGTTAGCATTAGAAGATTGCCAGATGGCGGCGTCACTACAATCATCTGCACCCTCGCCCAAAACCCTCCTCCGACTCGCACGATGCCAACTGGCTCTCGGATCTTCCACCCCCGCACTGTCGACAATTGGCACGGTGCTTGCCCTGGAGCCCCAAAATTCTCAGGCGGTCCAACTTAAGGACAAGGTCATTGCTCTTGAGGGGCACGTGCGGAACTTTGGCAGCGCGAGGAAGAGGAAGGACTGGGCGATGGCCCGACTTGCACTAGACAAGTGTTTGCAGTCTATTGAGGGTGAGGGTGGTGACGTCCCGACGGAGTGGCGGATTTGGAGGGTCGAGCTCGAGTTGTCGAGAGGGAGTTGGGACGCTGCGAACATGGCTGCAAAGTACGTTCATGCTCTTCAATCAAACCTTATAAGCTTTGAGCTGATCATTGATTGCAGCGACGCTCTGCGGTTGAACCCTAATTCACCCGATGTCCTGGCTCTTCGAGGACTGGTGCTGTTCCTCACTGGCAGGCTATCACAAGCGCTGAACCACGTGTTATCCGCACTCCGTCTTGACCCTGGCCATGAGCAGGCCCGGAAGTTACGCACTCGTGTCAAAGACGTGGAGCGGCTGAAGGAGGAGGGGAACGTGGCTTTCAAGCAGGGCAAGCTGCAGGAGGCTTACGATTTGTACTCGGAGACTCTGGATGTAGGTGACTACTGCGTCTTTCGTCTTCGCAAGCTTACATTGCTTTATAGCGCATCGGCTCAGTGGAGGAGGAAGGCAAAGGTGGCCAGATCCGCGCTACCTTGCTGTCAAATCGAGCTACAACTCTTTTGAAGGTGAGGAGATAGTCTTGCGCGTCTCTCTTTCCCTCTACTCACGAGGGTATATGTAGCTGGAGAGACATGAAGAGGCCCTGGTTGATACCGATGCATCGCTATCCATCTCACCCAACTCCTTCAAAGCGCTTCGTACCAGAGCGCGGATCAACCTTCACCTCGAGAAGTATGACGCCTCTGTCGCCGATTTCAAATCCGCCATACAACAAGCCACTACAGAGGGCAGTGCTACCGAGGCTGACATTCGTGCACTCAAGGTTGATCTGAAGAAGGCAGAGGCGGCGCTGCAGAGGAGCAAGACGAAGGATTACTACAAAATCTTGGGGCTGGCGAGGGAATGCACGGAGATTGAGATCAAGAAAGCTTATAGGCGGGAGAGCTTGATACATCATCCGGATAAGGTATGTTGCCATACTATTTTTGTTCCTCCAGTCCTCTTGACGACAATAGGGCGGCGACGAAGAGAAGTTCAAGCTTGTTGTGGAGGCGAACGCTGTGCTCTCTGACCCTCAACGGCGCGAGCGGTACGATATGGGCGAAGACGAAGATGGGATGAATGAGGGCGGTGGTATGGGCGGTATGGGTGGTATGAGTCATATGGATCTTGCGGAGCTGTTTTCCCATTTCCATGGAGGTCCAGCTGGGTTCAGCGGTTTTCCTGGCCAAGGATCGCGAGGCCACTCACATGGATTCTCTTTCTGATTGTTACTACCGCTTTTTCATAGCGTTTTCCCCACTTGGTCTTCCTCGTCGATTGAGACCTCTTCCCTGGTTGATGGGATACCCAACCCTCCCAGATACGCAGACACTTTCTGTGTACATAGTCATCACAAGACGTGTGCGCTTTTTTGCTACATCTATCGCGTCTGAGGGTGATGTGTGAAGCTTGTGAAGTCCGGCATTTCCTCCCTCCCTTCCTATCTAAAGTTTTACGATAATCGATGTGACAGATCCAAAGGTCAAGCGCTCACCGTGGAAACCTTTCCAACATCCTAAAAGCTCATGTCTCTTCGTCTCCAAAAGCTTCACGCTCATCATGCCCGACGTAATGGTGCGAAACGAAACACCCGATAAGCTCAATGTTGCCTTCCGCTTTGTTGCGCCAGCAAGTTGGAACAACAGTCTTCTCCCAGGCGACACTTGGACCACACACCTTGCATCAACTCCCTACACCGTTGAAGTTCGCCTCGACCATGAAAACAATCAATATTCTCCGCA